CTACTACGACTACTACTACTACTCCTACTCCTACTCCTACTCCTGCTACTGCTACTGCTACTGCTACTACTACTACTACTACTACTACTACTACTACTACTACTACTACTACTACTAAGACGACGACGACGACTACTGACTACTACTGACTACTACTCACTACTACTTACTACTACTTACTACTACTTACTACTACTTACTACTACTTACTACTACTTACTACTACTTACTACTACTTATACTTATACTACTACTACTACTACTACTACTACCACTTCTACTTCTACTTCTACTTCTACTTCTACTTCTACTTCTACTTCTACTTCTACTTCGACTTCCACTTCCACTTCCACTTCTACTTCCACTTCTACTTCTACGTCTGCTACTACTACTACTACTACTACTACTACTAGTACTAGTACTAGTACTAGTACTAGTACTAGTACTCGTACTAGTACTCGTCGTCGTCGTCGGTAGTGGTAGTGGTTGTTGCAGTGGGAGTGGTAGTCGTAGCGGTAGTGGTAATGGTAGTGGTAGTGGTAGTGGTAGTGGTGGTGGTGGTGGTGGTGGTGGCGGTGGCGGCGGCGGCGGCGGTTGTGGCGGTGGCGGCAGCGGCGGTGGTGGTGGTCATCATCGTCGTAGCAGCCTTCCCACCAGCAGCATCATCAGCAGTAGCAGTGCATCAGCAGCAGCACCAGCAGCAGAATCAGAAGGAGCAGGAGCAAGAGCAGGAGGAACAGGTTCAGGATCAGGAGGAGGAGGAGGAGCAGCAGGAGCAGCAAGAGCAGGAGCAGGAGCAATGGCAGTCACTAGCAGTAGTGGCGACAGGAGCAGCAGTGTCTTTCTTGTGCTAGGGGAGGAGGGGGAGGAGGAGGAGGAGGAGCAAGTAAGTGGCAAATCGTCTTCGTCAACGCAGCCCGCGTCAAGATCGTTGTTCTGGTGTCGCTTGGGGCTACCACGTCAGCGAAGAAGGAGAGTCCCAAATCCCACACGGATTCCCCCTGAAAGGAAGCCCGGTGTACATAAGCCGTGGAGCTTTGGCCTGGGCAAGCCGCGCCAGATCCGGTGGGTCCTCGGCCGGGAGGACGGCCTGGCCGACAAGGCTCGGAAGGCGGCACTGAAGGCAGCTGTACTGAGCGACGCACTGTGCTTGGTGCCAGGGGCCTTGCCGGCATTCTGAACGTGGAAAGGTGCCGAAGGGTTCCCTTCTTCAATTGAACTACGTCGCCAGACCCAACAGGTGCCAACAGCAAAGAGTGGCATGTACCCAAAACACAAGGACGATGAATACCGGCTCTATCAAGGGCTGTTGGCTATTGCACTCACTTCACTCAGGTTCCGACTTGCACTGCTTGCTCCAGTAGTGCTGAATCTCCTGCACATAAACCGCTCCATCCAGAAGCTAATTACATGGACAAGCTGCTGCCCATAGGAATATTCTAGTGTGCATTGTAGCCGGCCTGTATCAGTATCATCGACCAATGGTCGGCTTTATTTATGCCCGTACGAGTACATAGCTTCTGCGTTGCCAAGACATTACGGTGTGTGTCCCAGGTCCTGTTTGCTGTACTGCTTGGCATAGTATCTGCTCAAATCCTCCAAAGCTCGACTCCAGAGCTCTAGGCCACACTCTAGGCGTGTCTGAGCAACCGGCTTGGAATGTGTAGGATCCGCCATCTGCCGGATCCACGCGCCGTTCCATCCGCTCGAGTCTTTATTCGTGAAAGGATGCAGCGGTGGGAACCCACGAGACCTGTCCGGATGAAGAGACGTTGCCTTGCCGCAGAAACCACTTTCGCTCTGTATGCCGAAATCGTCTGAATTTGGAGCTTGAGCTTTCGGACAGAGTGAGGGCATGCGTTTTCCTGTGTCTCTGCGGGGGCACATACTCCCTGCAACGGCCTGAGAGTGGCGTCAGGGCCTGACGGCGTCACGACTCCCAGATCTCGCACAACACAGCAGTTCGAGGATCGGTGGCCTGCAGTCTTCTTCTGAGACTCAGAGCTCTCGATTGTTCACGCTACTGTGTGCTTTTTCTCCGGCATCAGAGCTCTGCATGAGCTGGGCGTTTCTGGTGAGGCTTTGCTCCGGCCATCGATTTCCGCAGCTTGCCCTCGTCCACACAGGCCTCAAACACCGACTGGTCCCTTTGCTAAAGGAAGAAACGCCAAAATCTATGCAAGCAAGCCCTTGACGCCACGGACAATCAAATGGCAGCACCCATGGTCATGTTTCAGTCTCGATGGTTCATTCGTTCCCTGCCATCAATCTGCACATAGTCAAGGCACCCGTGTCTGTGAACAGGCCGCTCTTCCAGCTCTGTTCAGCATCATGAGCAGTTGCCTGTGGTTGTCAGCAGATGGCCACTGCAGTAACAAAGCTCTCTTTACTACATGCAGCATCAACATCGTCAGAGAGTAGGTGTCTTTCTCGTAGTTTTATAAACCAGACAAGCCGAGCAACGCATCTGAGGCACCTCTGCGCCGTGCGCCTGCGACCATGGCACAAGGAATGCGAGAGTGTTGGTCTAGGGCCGAGACTTTTCATTGGCGCTCCTTCATAGGCACGAGCCACAGCATCTGCAATGAGCTCCATATCATCGAAAGCTTTCTGGCAAGCGTGCTGTACCATGTAGGACTTGTAATGGAACTTCTCGCTGTGCAGTGTCTCCTTTGCCAAGCTATGCGTGATCTCAGCTTGTCTGAAGCTGACCCCACATGCGAAAGGAAACTCTTGCAAAGCTGGGAGGCCGGGTAGAACACCTCTTGGGTGACGACGGCCTGTACCCCAAGAATGGTCACTGCTGCCACTGCTGACGGCCACGGCAACTGCTCTCGTCATTTTGGTGCGACCACGGCCACGAATTCCGGCCTTCTTTAGGGATGCCGAACCATCATCGTGGAGGTCGATGTCCAACCGCTGTCCGAGCAGTAGTGCCCTTGATCTCTCAAGAATAGGTCCACTAAGCCGGATGAGACAGCTTGGAAGGCATTGCCGGCGCGAATGACACCAGTGTATGCCGAGTTTCGACAGGTCTTTCATGTCGCCTGAGCGGCAAGAATCTGGTGTGACTGTGTGGGGTCCTGTGACTCGTCAGCTGGAGCAAAAACCAGCTGTTGTCTTTTGTTCTGGGCAGCAAAGCAGCACAGTTGCCTGGCACTTCCCATTCCTTCAGGCAGTTTTTCTGCCCAATCCTCGTCCACGGAATAAGCTTTCCTTATCTGCCCACTCGTTCGACGAGCATGGTAGACTGCGCATACGCTCCAAAAAATTGAAACACAGTCAAAGCATCAGCCTCAGACGGCAAGGTGCTCGATTTCACTGCGGAAGATTGCCAGCAACGACGTTACCTGTATGCCATGCTATGAATGCAGGGTCGTGTGCCTGACGCAAACGGCAACCCTCGGACCGCAAACTTCGCCAGACTGAGTTCGTAGCTCGTTCTTCACACACACGGCAAGACAAGAACCTGCAGCATTCTTGGGCGCAGCGGACATAAGTCAGTCTTACGTAGTAGCAGCACAAGAAAGACGTGATATGACGTGATGCAGCAATCGACTTCCGTCAGAGCTCTCGCATCGAGTAAACTGTTTCAGTCCTACCTTTGCAGGCGTCACAGCATTCCACTGCCCGTGCAGCCCGTCCTGGCTGTCCGTCTTGCCACGTCAGTCAACTCCTGTGACTGCGGCACCAGGCCGTCGGGAAGGGAACTCGCGGATGGCAAAGACCCGGCAGCAACGAAGCCGCCGCAGAGAAAAAACCATTCAAGCATGAAGGCAAAGGAATTCGGCTGCTTCCTTGTGTGACCATTATCGAGCTCACCCAACCGTCGGACTTCTGCAACAGCTGCCCCTACTGCCTTCTTGCGATTCTTCTGTTCTCTGCGGGAAACTCTCATTGGCAAATGACTTACCATGATCCTGAAAAGCCACTTGGAGAGGTGCATCCTCAACATCCTCAACCATCAAGTCAAAGCCCATCTCAAGCCAACCCTAGCGACCCAGCTTGGCATGATGTTTTGTCGCACCTCACTTCACCAGATCAGCTTCTGAGGAATGCCATGCAAAAAAAACCTATACAACAAAGTCTGGTACTCGTCACCCGTCTTTATCTTGGGGTGTGGAGCCAAGCAGAAACGCAGGGACGATCAGCGTCAAAAACACACTTCACTCTTGGAAGCAGCTTTGACTAGTCTACGTGGGTTTCCATAATGCCAGCTGTTCTTACGGTATCGACAAAAGGACACCATACTTACGTTCGCATGCATATCCACATATCTACACTTGTATCTGTTTTGTGTATGTATGCAGAGAACATGTTCACTTCGCCTGGACTCTGAACTCAAATGGAAACGTGGAATCATGCGTCGCTGGGCAGGACGTCACGACTTTAGAAGACAGCTTTGGGGATAGTCACGCTGCCCATGTCAGGAAAATCGCCCAAGCCAGATCACTTGGACTGTGCTCTGTCCTTCGAAATGCTAGCAAGCTCACATGTGTTGGGGTTGCTTGGCTGGAGACAAGAAGGAAGCAGCACGGAATGCCTCACTGGTGGGCATGAAGCGGGGTGTTCGACTCGGCGCATTTCCCTGAGGACACGCTTAACTCAAACTTCCCTGAACAAGTCGGAAGCGACTGCTTTGACTGTCGCTTGGCACCTCCCAGCGTTGCTCGAGCAGCGACCGCAGCCTTTTCTTCAGCTCGCGATTCACGGCCTTGTAGTACTGGTTGTCGCCTCAGCTACAGGCGATGGCTGCGTCCTGCAGCCTCTTGTGGCTTGAGCATCTGGCGCTTCACTTGCTCCACCTTCCGAGCACTTGCGCAATTGACAGAACGAACATGCGGCTGAAGGGCGACATTCCGAGTAATGAATGTGCATGCTGGCACGCGTCTCAAGCAACTCACGCCAGAACCGATTTTGCATGTCTCCTCTATGCAGTACATGGCTTCGTTCCAAGACTTGAAAATCGGAAACACTACGCAGGTGAAACTACATACAAATCATGCTGCTGGGCCTGAGCCTATGCGCACTACCGGCGACAGCGCCTTGGCCGACATGGCTACCTTTCTGGGAGGCTTCAGGGAACCAGCACCTCTCAGATTCAGCAGCAAATCGACCTTCGTCTGCATCTTTTGCATCTCACGCTCAATCTTGTTCAGATCAAAGCTGCGGGCATATCCCTTCATGCGCATGATGCCCGCCTCAAACTCTTCAAGTGAAATCTCACCATCACCATCATCCAGCATCTGGAAGAGGCCAACTAGATCGGTTGTTTCTATTTCAAGCTGTCCCATCCAGACTTGAAGCTTGGGATTTTCCAACAGGAAGCCGAACTCTTCGATGTCGATCTTGCCATCGCCAGAAGAATCTACTTGCTTGAAAAGGTTCGTCAATCTCCTACGGTATGCATCCTGTTGTCTTTGCTTCTCTGCCGCCAAAAACTCATCATCTGCTTGAGCTACCTTCATGGTACTCTGCACGAAGACTGCATTGACAACGTTCCTGAGATCCCGAACACATGTGAAAGGGGTGATGGGTCAAAACCGGACTGAAACCTGGTGCAAAGTATTGCACCTTAAGGATACCAAAAGTATAAGGCCAGGGTCTAAAAAAAAACGAGGTCACGTGCTGATAAATGGTAAATAAAGGCCTACGCTACAGACATAGTCAGGCCTGCGTTTCTGCTCTGCCTTGTTGGGGATGGCAGGGTGGGCTGCAGGCGTGCGGGAAGCGAAGACGTGTGCCATATTCGATGTCCAAGATGCAACACGGCAAAGCCCACAAAGCACCGGTAGAAGATGAAGACCATGGAATACCACTCGCTGACATTGTCCATGAGCACTCTACATGCAGGTGCCCAATTGGCAAATAATACTTCAAACATCGTCAGCAGTGTCTTGGAAAACGTTCCATAATACCGAAAAACTGCGAACTTCCTTTCCTCGTCCACAGCAGGGTCTACCATGAAATCACTGACCATATACGAGATAGTCATCCCTGCACTGCACTGAATGATCATCAACAGGACCAAGGACCAGAAGAGAATCCGAACGCTGGCGGCGATACATTTGAGTAGTAGCTGCAATGACTCAAGAACCTGCGACATCTTCACCACACGCAGGGCTCTCAAGAGCTTCCCCAGGCGCAGCATGCGCAGAAAAGTGGGGCTGATGGGCAGTGCAGCTGCAAACAACTCGGCCCAAGAGCTACAAACTACAACGAAATCTATCCAGTTAAGCCAGTGCTTGAAGAAGGCCAAACAACGGATCCAAAAGAGTCGGATCAACATCTCCACTGTGAAGATCACCGCGAAGAGCACGTCTCCCGCAAGGAAGAAGTCTTCGACGTGCGGCCAATAAACATGAGCTGGCTCCACGTAGCTGGGATATCTTATTTTGTATCCGATATTGAAACCATGATATTGCAACTGTGCCGCCATTAGCATGAGGTTAAACAAGAGCAGGACTGCGATGCCCATCTCGAAGCTGTTTCCCATGAAAACATTGCCGAAGCGTTCATAGAACGCCCTGTCGACATCTCTGGTGGCTACCTCCGCGAGCTCGGAGTCATCACCGAGGTGGAGGGCAACTTGATTTGAGTGCAGAGATGCGAGGGAGAGAATCGAGTTTGCGATGCTCGAAGCTGAGAAACCCTTTCGGAATTTGGCCGCTTCTGGCCTAGACTCCTTGCTCTGCTGGGAATGACGGCGCTTTTCGTTCGAAGCAGCAGTGTCTGCTGTTGCTTCATCTGCATCCTGCGCTGGCCGTTCAAGAACTTGCGCAGCATCGTCACACGCCTCGTCCTTCTCCACGATAGTGCATGACTCCCTGACGAGACACCTCTCCGAGTCAGGATCGCGGGAGTTTTCTCGCGAGATGGGTTGCACTGGTGGGGACATGCGAGGAAAAGGTTGCATGGCACTCAGTCTGCACAGCGCCGCCACCTCAGCCCGAAGCTTCCTGGTCTCTTCCAGATGCACGGCCTCGAGCTCCATGAGCATTGCACGAAACGCTGGAGAGACGCCGTCTGCATCGATAGTTGATGCAGGAGTTCCTGGCCCGGATTCAGCAACCTCCTTTTGCATGTTGTCCGCCGGCAACCGGCAATGCAAAGCGACTGGCAAAAAATGGCCCTTCCAGGTTTCCGGTGGCCACTTCAGGGTTCTTGCCGAAACAGCTTGAGCCGTACATCAGCCAATACCGAACCCGAGTGTGCCCTGCGCAGTGTGCATCAAGAACATGCAGGCCTGGAGTCTGGAGCAAAAACCTTCAGATGCCCAGCCAAACATGAGAGGTCACAGCTTCCACCTCCTCGACGTCTCCCGATGCTGAAGCAAAGCTTGGCTCATCTGAGCGTGAATCGCTTTGCTGCGCCTTAGCCGCAGAGAAGGAGGGCTTTGAAAAAAAGGGGATCCCAAAAAGACTCTCTCTTCCCCTCTCTCTGTGCATCCTTCCATGGAGAGAGCTCTCTCTGCCGAGAAGCCGAAAGCTGGCCTCGGCTCGCGGCCACACAGAGAGCGAAGCAACGAGGCGAGTTTGCAGATGGCCCGACATGATCTGATCATTTGCATATTAAAACGATTCCGCGCGCCATCTTTGGGGCAGCTGCGAAGCAGTTGTCGTATTCGAGCTTCATACTCTTTCGTCACTCGGGCGATGGCCTTGCAGCTTGAATCATTCTTGCAACAGGCACCTTGCAGCGAGCATGCTTGTTGCCAAGTCTTGCCTTCGTCGCATTGGAATCTTGGCGCCGCAGAACAGTCTGCAGCTCTGCGATCTGCACAGCCACAGCTAGGTCCACGGAGCGTCGGCTAGCTAGTTGCACAGGCATCTGCTCGTCTCATCTGCAAGATAATGAAGCTCACGGTGCATGACAGCGGCTGAATATGGGAAAGGCGGAAAAAGAGCGAGGAGGAGTGGATGGATGGCAAATTCTCTTAGCGACAGGTCTGTGATACGCTTATCCACACATTGCCTGTTGGAACACTGCCGCTTCCTTGAAGAGATATACCTCTGAACACCCAGGATTTCAGAAAGCTCAGCCTGCCGAGACCGTTCTTCCAGCTGCGCTTCTGCAGCCTCCAGCCGCTGCCAGTGCCTGGAGGTCCAAGAAGAGATGCCCTTGACTGCGCCAGCTCTGTGCTTTATTCTCAGCCCTCTGCGCCTCGACATGTCTCTCTCTCTCTCTCTCTCTGCCGTTGCATCCAGAGGGTCCAGCCGCGCGAGGCAACGCGTGAGGGCCAATTAGCCCCGCACGAACATGAAACAGCAAGCCGCAACTCAAGCAGTGTCATGTCTGAGTCACTGTATTTGTCCTTACCACGTGCTCTTTCAAGGACAGTGTTGCTAGCGACCCGTTCCTAAAGAGCAAATATTCTTGACGAAATACACGGCAGCTTCAGGATTCGTTGTGGCCTCGCGGAGTTTTCCCGGAGTAATTAACCGAACTCCGCAGCCCTTCCACGTCCTTCTGCGCGCACAGTCCCCGGGCAGTGTTCTACATCGAATGAAAGGTCTGTGTCCAGCTATGGACCTCCGCCATGAGAAGAAAAGGCTACTCATGGAGGCACATGATGGCCCCTGAACCTGCTAAATTGATTTGTCTCGTGATGCCGCCGAGCTGATACGCATGTTGCACGGTGTTCGCATCTTGCGAGATTTCCTCGATGCAGGATGTCGAGGTGATCTGCAGTTCGCCAGGCAAAGCGGAATGTTGTGTACTCGGCACCATTTAGGACTTCAAGCAGAAAACTGTGATTGCGCGTGACACCCCATACTCTCTGACCTTGCCATCATAGATAGCATTCACATGCAACGGGGCTTCTCGACACTTCGGCTAGGCGTAAGGTGTAACATGCAGGACCAGCTGTTGCATTCAAGCGAAGTTGCTGCTTCTCCCTTTGTCGAAGTTTCACAAGCTTCTCGCAATAGCCTTTGCTGACCAGGGTGATGTAAACGGCACGACAAGCAGCAACGTAAGCCAGGTCGCGGCGCAAGAGCTCCTTCCCATCCTCAGCCGGAATCCGCTCGAGCTCGGCATCCAGCTGCCCCGCCCCAGCGGCTGTGGAGCGCAAGTACTGCTGAACCTTTGGCCACGCGGCCGTTGCCGAGAGGTTGCCACGAGGGGTTGCCGAGCGCAGCGAGTCGAGCCTTGGAGATGCGATCTTTCCGAAAGTCGAGCTCGTCGTTCAAGCCCTCCAGCCTCTCATCAATGTCGTGAAGGATACCTTGCAAGAGCACACTTGCCAGCTCGTCGCATTTGGCAATGCCTCAGAACTTCCGCCCTTCGTCGACCATAAGAAATGCCGAGATTCTGAGCCCTTCCGCGTGCTTCCGTTGCACGTTGCGCTGCAGCTCTGCCTGCTCCTCCTGTTTCCCCGGCTAGAGACACTTGTCTATATCTTGTCCATCCTACGATGGTGGTGGCGGGGTTTGGGCTTTGATTTTGCGGGATCCGAACTACGGCCTTGATGGCATGTCGACGGTGCTCGACGCGTGCTCGAGAGGTAGCATCGGGCAAGGCCGAGGGGTCGTGCAAGTCCTGCCTGAAGGTCGCACGGCTTTGCGTTCAGATTCAGGCTTCAGTAACCATCCCAAAAAACCCTCGCACTCAGTCGCAAACTCGTGTCTCGCTGCTTCTGCTTCTAGCTGTGCCATTCGCTCCGTGGACTCCTGCATGGCAAACATCGCAAGTGCTTGATGCCTGGCCGCCCTCTCGAGGGTTTCCCAGCCTGCTGCTCGGTGAGGTCTTTGGCGGCGATCTTCCTTGCCATGCTGGTGCGGTGCAAATGTGTTCAGGCCTAAGCACACGCAAACTGCCATCTGGGCTCCGCCGGTAGTTCATGTACTGCTCACGCTTTCTTTGCAAGGCATCCTGCTTTCGCAAGTCCTGCGCTCTCGCTCAGCAACTTTAGGTTCTGCCATGAAGACTCGCGCTCCTCCTCGAGGCCTTGGGTCGCCTGCGAGCTTCTGCGGGCTTGCAAGAAGTGTTGGCACGCATGCGGCTTGCCTCTAGAATCCGGATGTGTTCGTCTAGCTGGTGTTCCAAGTGCTGCCAGCGAGAGGACGATGAAGTAGCATTTCCGTTGCCTTCGTGGCCAGGAAACGGACCCGCGCTGTCTAGGTCTCGGCCTCTGGCCTGGAGTGCTGCGCTCTGTGACAGACTCCGACCCCGAAGTTGGGGTGTAGCCACGGCCGCTGCCGGGCCGGTCCACACCCCCGGAGTTCTTCCTGGACAACGCGGCCGATGCTGCCGGCCTCTTGGTGTGGCCCACTTTGGCCTCCAGGAAACAACACCACCACCTCTCACGAACTTTCTATTCACTCTATTGTAGCCCGCCTCGAGATCTTTCACCTGCGGAAACTAAACCAACAGAGCTTCCTAGCTGGCTTGGCGCTTGGCACCCAAATTGCTAGCGCAACGAAGCGTCTGCAAAACACTTTGCGCCTTCTGGCCCTCACGAGTCAGCCTGCGCTGTAGCTCCGCAATCTGGTAGGCTTCCCTCCTGCGCTCCGCCTTCCCAAAGGTCCAGAACCAAAGCAAGCCGACTGCAATGTAAAAATGAACAGATATGAACAGCCCGTTTGGATCTCCTCAAGAGCACGATGGATTACCGAGAACCCTGAGCTTCGGGTTGACTCATTAGCGTCAGGCTGTCTGCTGTTCTGAAAGGCTTAAGAATCCTCTCAATATATTTACTTGCCAACTTAAAGAATAAATAATGTGTACATAAACATGTATATAGAAGAGGTGGGGAGACTGCAGAAGTGCAAGAAACAGTGTAACACAAGAGCAAGCAGAGGGTAAACACGTGTGAAAACAAAGTGCATGTTGGCTGGAGGGCTCCCTGCGAGGCTGCGCTTGGGAAAACGCTCTTTCGCATGTTGTCTACAGTTTGTTCACCTTCTTTACATGCTTCATTTTTACACTTTATTTACACTTTATTGACACTTATTTCGCATCTTGCTGTGCACTATATTGTACACTTGCTTTGCACCTATTTGCACAATCTGATTTGAATATCTGATGGCTATCCAACATTGACAGAACCAGGGCGTCTTAACGCGAGGCGACTACCAGTCGGAGATGCTCGCTGGCCTGCAGCCTGCGGTCCAGACCCTCCTGGCTCTGTCCTTGTGTATAGCAGGACTGCGAAGTATGTCAAGAAGGCTGGCACTCAGCTGCTGCCAGTGGGCGCATCTGCGCGACCTCAACCTCCAGGTCCTTGACACGCTTGCGCTCGTTGAGTCGCAAGTCCTTCATCAAGTAGCAGGGCATTGCAGGGCATTGGTGGTGCCGGAGACATGCTCAGAGACTTTGGTGCCTCGCCTTGAGGCGAGAGTACTCCTGCTGCTTCCTCTTCAGTGCGTCCATCTGCTCGTTGACTTGACGCTCCAGGCGGCGCTTCTCTTCTTCGCTTGAAAGCCTCAGATCCGGAATGCGCTTTCCGGGCCCTTCAGCTTTTTCAGCCGTGGCCTGGCTTTCTCCTCTAGCATCTCAGATTGCTGCAACCGCACCTTCCGGCCCGCATCTCGTCAGATCAGGGTCTCTCTGCAGCCTAATGCGGCCTACACAAGGCCGAACCTTGACAGTGTCAAGCTGACGCTGCGTCTCTTCGAGCTCGGATTGGAGCTGCTCCATCCGGGCTTGGTATTGCTGGCGTGCTATGCCCCACTCGCGCTCGCTGCGCATCAGTTCCTCGATGAGGTCTTCCTCACGACGATGACAGACCACTTTTGTACTGCCTCGATATTCCCACAAGCAAACAAGATTTCACAGAGTGTGGCATCTCGAACCTCGAAGGATCTCGAAAGCCAGCTCCATCGGCATGACTGGAAACCACCTCAAACCTGAAGCCCCCTCTATCCCCGACAAGACCTTGAGCAGCACGTTCTGCGACAGCCTTGGCTACACAAAGCGGTGCGATGGAAGAACTCTCCAGACTTATATGGCTCTTTGAAACCGACAAACAGAACGCCCACTGAAGTGAAGACGAACGGGAACATCCAGATCCAGACACAAAGCCTTCTGAGGGGACAAGAGCCGGGTGCCGATTGCTGGATCTAACAAAACCCTACATCTTGAGACCCAGCAGCGACTGCATCTGCTCTCTCAAGTGCTGCTGCGATGCCCGCGTATCCTGACACGGTTTTTTTAGCAGATGTCCAGGCCACATGACGACATGCGCTCCGGCCCGAGGCGGGCACAAGGAATTGTATGACAACATGAGAAGTAAGGAAACGCGGGAAAAATGGCCGATGCGATCACCGCAATGAAGCCGGCGATAGAAAAAGCACCAGAAATGAAGCGCTTCGGCTGGCCACCATAGCCACACAGCACACGGCTCACCTTGAGTCGATGGACGTCCGTCACCGACTTCATGTCCGTCTTAATGTCGGTTCCCTCTCCCTTCATTTTGGCTGCAGTGTTGGTTCTCCGTCACTTCCAGCTTTTACGTCCATGCTAGTACCAGCCATCGTCGGTCTCTTGTGTTTGGCCCTCGGATATGGTTATTTGGTTGCGGAATTCATTCTGCTGTCAGTTCTGTCCTCAAGATTAATGCATTTCCGCCATGCTCGACGCCATTTCCCGGCTCACACTGCTTGTTTCTGGCTTCCTTCAAAATTGCGTTGCCGTGCTTGCACCGACGATTCGCGGAATCATGTTCGGCTGCATAACTAACATTTCCGTCATGCTTCGCTTATCTTCGTGTTTTTTTCGGCACAATTGCTACATTTGCAGCTTAATTGCCGCTTCGGTTTCCATATGTTTCAATCAGGCTTTCACTTCTGGTTGTGGAATTGGTGCTGTTCCGTCATTTCTCACTTCATCTTTCGCTGCAGCATTGATGAGGCCGGAAATGACGGAAGTGCATCAAGTCAGAATCAAGTCTGCAAGCAGGAATGATGCCGGAAATGATTGGGACCAAACCGAAGATGAAGCCGGCGATGCAACAGTTATGCAGCAAGCTACGCGAGCACAGCCCAGCCCCCACCTCGTGCCACCGCCGCCAAGGCATGTATTATCAACAAACCCACAGAACAAGCCGCTGGGACACCTTGCCACTGGAGCCACAAAGGCAAACGCATGGCCATGTCTTCCGAGACTTGACGAAGTAGTCGTAAGGCAATAGCAGTACGAAAAGCTCAAGGCCGAATGACCGTAGTGCCAAAAGAACAGAGTCATGACGACGTCCGGGCAGCAGGAGCAACCTGAACCACAAATGTAGAACGACTACCAACACTGCGCGAAATACTTGTCATGTCCGACCCATGATGGGGCATCCAATACATGCTGGGGCAGGAAGGAGGGGGAAGGGGTGTGCATGAGGAAGGGAACCAGGAGAAGTACAAGACAACCATTCGCGGAACATAAAAAGAAAACCGTTCCATAACACGTGAAACATTGCGCCGGCATAGGAGGGACGGGGGACGAGGGGGGAGCACGAAAACAGGGCCATAATGATGCCCAGCCCACAAGGAAATCAAGATGGTGAGGTACACACATATGTTGGAAGTGAGCATTGTCCTGTGGTTGTTCGGGCAAGCCGAAGTGTTTTTTCAACAAAAGAATCTGTGCTTGCTGCTGGGTCCTGGCAATGCTTGCGAACTTTATCCTCTGCCTGGCAGCCTAGAAGTCCAATCCCTCTTTGAGTACCCTCACAATCGGCCCCACCTCCAAGTCACATGGCTTGGACACGTCAACTTCACCATCTTCTGGTCCAGGGACGGGTGCGGCTGGCGAGGTCGAACTCAGTGCCGGGCCGTCGTCAAGCTCGCCTTCGCTAGTACTGGCCCATGCAACGGGCAAACACAAAAGGATGTTCAACAGTACGCTCAAAGAGCCACTACCGATACAATGGCAAGTCCAGGCACTGAGCTGGATGGCAAACGCATTCGGCCCCTCCTTGCTGCCGGCCCGTGAATCTGGACTTAGAGGTTTGCTCTCCCTGTGCATCTCCTCTAGAAAGGCATTGCGTTCCGTCAACTCCTGAGGCACAGACACCGCATGCCAAGAGAAATAACACAAACATGCAGCAGTCATGCAGCGATGTCTTCTCTTGCTAGCTCTCTGCTCTCATCTATTGCCGCACTCCTTCATCTCGCGCATTTTCTCTTCGAAGATCTCCTCATCCTTCTGCAGATCATCCTTGGCCTCCTTTAGCTCCTCTTTGAGCTGCTTGTTGCCTCGACGATACAGTGCGAGCTCTTGCTCCAGGCGCTTCATCTCGTCCAGGTACTTGCGAATCAGTGTCGTCGAATCCTTGCGCATCTCTGACAAAGACCTCGCAAGCCAGGCTCGGTCATCGTAACAGGAGCAAGCAACGGCAAAAGCCAAGGAACTGTAGCTTGTTCGGTTCCCCGAGTTGCGGCGCAGTGTTTGACAGCGATGGCACGCCATTAACAGATTCACCCGATGTCAGCTCCGGAGCTCGCTCCTGCAGCGCAACGAAAATCCTTCACATCTGCAAAATGGAGTCCTGGAGGTCCTGGATGAGATGACATGGGGGTGCGGGAAGCCGACTAGCAGTAGCAGGCATGGCATCCGAGGAAGTCTGTGACGCGTGCGTCTCGTCGACAGGCAGATCCGCTTCGCCTCATGGCACGAATCCTTCGAACGTCGAGGCACAAAACGTAGCTGCGTTCTCGCCGAGGTACTGTTCAGCAGTCGATGCGCTGCCTTCGGTGCAACTCGGTGCAACTAGTCGTAGCTAGCAGCACCACTTAATTAATGATTCCAGAAGGTGCGCTTGCAAGAGTCTTGCAAACATGGCGTGCGGGTGCGGATGTGGGCGTACACATACAGGGCAGCGCAAGATGCAAACAGTCCTTCTCATCGGCACAGTCAAGACCGCGTGAAGACGTGCCGAAGCAGCGAGTGAGGTCTGAAATATCTAGCCGAATCCTGGATGCACCTACGCTGCATACCTCTTGCATTCTTCCAGTACCTTTCTGACATAGACCTTGAACCTCGGGATATCTGCACGGACATAGTCAGCACCGTTATGCTAAAAGCATGGCAAACCGAACCATCAGTTGCCTGGAGCACCTGGCAGACTGCTGCGAGAGCGCGTCGCCCAGGCACAGATGGGGCTTCCCGTGTTGAGACCTGCCCAAAATGCGATGGTGTCGAAACACCTTTCTACTGACTCAGGACACCTGCCATATGGCCGGCAGGTGCTGGCAGACAATACTGTACCTCATCGCACTGCACCGGCAGAGACAGCACAGGCTTGACTGGGATACGGCAGCTTCCAGGTATCTTGGGACAACAGGAGTGCACTGTGGCAGGGGCTGCAGGAGAAAACCGACTGGCTGCTTGATTATCAAAGACCGGAAAGGATGCTGGACAGACAGGTTGCACGTCCACCAAGTACTTTCGAAAGGCTTCACGCTCTGTCTCCTGCAGGAGACATGCAATTACTAGCTGTTCTTCTGCTCGCAAGCTCCACTGCCAAGCCCCTAAATTAAATGCCAGGTCTCCGTGGCCGCCAGGCGCTCGGCAAGCTCCGAAGAACGCGTCTCGGAAACCTGCGCGGCCACGTCCCAGTTTCTGCCCGTCCCCCCTGGCCCCGAAGCTGAGGCTAACACCTCGAGCTTGTGGTTCAGTTCCAGCACTTCGTCGGCCGGGCCTCAGACTGAAGAGGACCCCTCGTCAACTTCTATCTGATTCTCTCTTTTCTGTGTTCCTCTGTGTTCCTGCCTCCGACGGCAGAGGATCCCTCGTTGGCGCGCTGAAGCTGTTCTCTCAAAGCCACAATCTCGTCCTGTGCACATGCCAGAGACTCGCTATCTATATTAGCTAGATCGCTATGTAGTGCAGGATTGCTGCCTGCATAGCAGCCAACTGCGCAGTGCGAGGATCATGGTTGATGACCTCGTGAGGAAAAGCTGAGAACCGGCTCAGCGTACGATGCACCGCGGCTTTGTCTCTCCCGTTGCAGTCGGAGCGCGGGCTTGTTCTTGATGTTTCGCGCGCGGTGGGCGTACTTCAAGGTGTTGAGCGTCTCTTCGAAGTCGATATCTGCACAGCTGACACAGGCAATCATCACCTTGGCGTTTCAATTCGGTCAGGTCTTCTCTTCCAACAGGCCCACAGCTGACGGCTGCCGAATTTCTGTGGGATTTTGTTTGCATCGCTGTGCATTTTTTTTGATGGGGGGTGGTGTCGTCGAGCGCCTGCGCAGTGACGCGCAGGCCATGCTCCGGGGCACAGCATGTTGCCATGGTCCTGACACCGCCAGTATACTCGGGGGACAGCATTTTGGCCGTTCTCCGGGATCCGCCAGTCCGTGCAAAAAAACATCTTGGCCCATCAGCACTGGCGGGTTGCGTCAACACTGCAGAGACTAATGGTTGCTGTGGGCACGGTCTGGGATCCGCTTGACCGGTGACTCGGGGGGTGGGGCATCAAAAAATACATGAAAATGCATCAACACAATGAGGGTTCAAAAAAACTCAAAACATGCAAAAACAAGTTTTACGTGCTACAGCAAGCCATTGGGCAAACAGGATTTACGCCGTTGTGCTTGTGGCAGCTCCGGGCTTCTGTTTTGCGTCAAGCTATTTGGGGAATTACACTTGTCAGGGTTCTAGTGAGGAATTACACTTTCCAGGCTCCTCAAGCTATTGGGGGATTACAGCTTGCAGGGTTCTGTTTTGCAGGAAGGTATTCGGGAATTACAAATTGTAGGGTCCTGCTTTGCAGCAAGCTAGTGAGGAATTCCACTTTGTGAAGGTTCTGCTTTGGATCAAGCACTTGTGGAATTCCGATTTGCACGGTCCTGCTTTGCATTTAAGCTACTGGCACCCACCCTCATTTGGCGATTCCGGTTCCTCATATATCTTAAACACGTCCCCTTCATGTGGCGATTCCGGTTCATCATATATCTGAAGCATGCCCCTCTCACTTGGCGACTTCGGTTCATCATGTCTTATATAAACACCCCCCCCCTCATTTGGCGATTCTGTTTCATCTTTATCATCATCATCATCATCATCGCCATGTGTACATACACACACAAATTACATATGTATGTACATGTATATATATATATATAACATACACACACTCGGTAAAATATGTATAAGATGTACTTTTAAACTACATCTAACATGCATCTGCGTATGTGCATGTATTATATAATATATAGATAGATAGATAGATAGATAGATAGATAGATAGATAGATGGATGGATGGATGGATAGATAGATAGATAGAGGTATGTATGCAATATAGGCGCTTTTCTACCTGTGTAGTTCCTGCTTTGTTTGTTCAGTGGTTCTATCCGGTCGTTCACTATTTTGTTGTGCGTGCGTGTGCTGTTCTTTCCGTCGTCCGCTCTTTTTCTCTCCTGCATTATGTCGTGTGTTCTTTCTTTCTTCGTTTGTGTTTCTTTCTATCTTTTGTTCTTGCTTTATTTATTTCTCTATCGCTGTCTTTCTTTTTCTGGTTCTTTCAGTCTTTATTTATGTTGTTCGCTCTTTCTTTGGTCTTTGCGGGATAGTTCCTATCGCTCCTTGGTTCGTTGTCTTCTTTCCTTCTTTGCCTCGTTTGTCAGTTGTTTATTTGTGTCTTTCTTTCCTTTCTGTCTTCCTGTCCTTCCTTCTTGCGTTCTCATTGTTTGTTTTCTGATACATTTTGGATTTTTGAAGCCTCTCTCCCTTACTCGAGGTGCGAGACGACAAGGTGCCCAAGGAGAAGCTTCCTGCTGCGTGTTCCTCGCATTTGCCAAAAAGCGGAGACGCGCGGAGCGGGGCAGGCGACAAAGAAGCGGAGAAGCGGAAAAGCAACAGCGCAGAAGCAGACAATGACAGATCGGGCTCCGAGCGGAGAAGCGCAGAAGCACAACGACAAAAATCGAACGGGAAGCGCAGAAGCAGACAATGCCCAAACAACGACAGCTCGTGCTCCGAAGCGGAGACGCTCTCTCTCCCTCTCTCGCTCTCTCTCGCGGACTCAGAGGTCTGTCAGCCGCGCAGTTGTCTCCGCTCAGAAGCACGAAAGCAAGAAGCGGACGAGGCGCAAAAAAGAAGGGCGCAAAAAAAATACATTCCCACAAAAATTGGCCCTCCTACAGCTGACCCCACCGAGTCCTTGCAGGATCAAGTCACGGTCCTTGAATTCCCACCCAGGCTGTCCTGCAGCAGCCTCGTCAACTTCGATTCGCGATAAGGCACGTGGCTACCTGTGAACAGCAGCATGTTGCACGAAGGTTCACCCGCCTCACCCCTACCCCTCTGTCTAACAATGCAGTGCATCTCTGCCTCGCTTTGCAGGGTCGCCCAAGGCAGAGATCACATTTCCCAGCGCTAACAGGCCAGAGTTTATGGAAATGCTCTCCTTGAAGCGACTGCCAACTGCACCGGTGCCTCAAACTTCAGAGTGTGGGACAAAGCATTGCGAATGACATGATGTGACAGTGATTCAGCTTGGTGGCGCTTTGCGCGCTCAGACCCTGCGAGGTCCACGAGGTGAAACTTAGCTGTCACGTAATCCTCCTCGCTCCATGCATCTCCCCCTCCTATCCGACGACGCTGCTCCAAGATCAGGGTGAAGATTGAATGTGACCTTCAGGTACAAACATGAAAGACTTGGCAAAAAATGCCACATGTAACTGATCCGGTGCATCGTCAGTTCTCTAAAGAACAGGTGGCAGACTTTCCAAATAGGTTCGGCGCCTGGAGCTCTGCTCATTCATGAGCGTGGCCCCAGTGGTTCTCTGCACGGAGCCATCACTGAGGCAACGGAACATCTCCTCTGCGGAAGTGCACGTCTCTGCGTGGATGCCGGAGACTTTGATGCCACCCGCAGCATCTTCCCTGATGGCGATCGGGCCTTTGTGACCTCTGCAACAAGGGGAGCAAACCGCAACCGCAATCGCCCGTACCGCTGAGCTGGATCAGTTCGTCAGTCAGAGTTTGGTTGGGGTGGTTGGATTTTTGTTGCAGTGACTGCAGTGTTTTTACTTAAACACACACCGCAGGCAGAGAGCCCGCACTTTTGAGCCGGCCTCCGGGCTGCAGCAGGTCTCGGATGTCTTCGTTGTAGATCTCGAGATAACAGCATGAGACCTCGCGAAAGTCTCTGTGTGGCCGTGACAAGCTCCTGGGTTTAGAAGTACAGGCTCTAGACGCAACAGAGTCCAGAACTTTGAAGTCGATCGCCGAGCTGTTCGCCTCGATGTGTCGGAAGCTGTTCCGAATCACCTCCACACACTAGGTTTGTGAATCTACTGGCTCTGCGGTGTACTTCTGCAACACCCAAAAAATCAGGGAGCCTTCGGAACAATGCCCTCCTCAGCACTGCCCTCCGATGCCCATTGACCCGTACCCATGGTGTAGGTTTTGCCAGAACCTGCAAGCAGAACAAGTATCCAGCAGTTCCTGGTAGAAATTGCGATGCCTCTTTGCAGCCATGCCCCGATCCTGTTTGCCCATAAGCGAAAACAGTTGCATTGTAGCCCTGCCTCGTGTACTTGTGTGGCACAAGTACATAAAACCTCCACAAGCTAAGTGCTGAGGAGGAGCATGCAGCCATCCAGCAAGGATGATACGCAGCCATCATAAACAGCTGTTTGGCTTGTATCCGTCTCAAACACCAGGTCAAACCTCTGTGGGCACCCTGCTCACCGAGCTTCGGATTCAGCTCGGACTTGAGGAGCTTAGGCTCAAGCACCGACTCTGCCACTGAGTGTGCCCAAACGAACTTGCTGCTCTGAGTCAAGGCACGTAAAAGATCGCTTGGTGCCGACAACCAGCTGGTTCCCCCCAGGCTGAGCAGAAACACAGCTGCAGTAGTTCCTCAGCTCGGACATTTGACGACTGCAGATGTCACCAAGGTCGTGCTTTTTCGCCTAACACAGCCTCCAAACTTCATCTGGGACTCTGTGCTGTGTCGCGGGCTAGGAGCGGCCGAACCCTGGCCGCCACGCGGACGTTGGTCTCCTCCTCGGCCCTGGTGAGAGCTGAGATTTGCTGCGGGCTCTGACTCTGACTCCCTCAGGAAGCCAAGTGGCACAGGGGGCATATCGCTTCGCTTCACATCAACCCATTGCTGCAGTCTGCTAGGTAGACCCTGCTACGCAGCTTCTCGATCCTTCTCCGTTCGTATTCGTGCTTGCTCATCCAATGCCGTTACATGACTTTTGGGCCAAGATTTAGGTGACCTCGCCGAGACACTCAAGAACCACATCCCGAGCGGCTTCAGCCCTGCTGGTGTGCTGGCGATGCGAGCAGATGTCAAGTTTCCGACAACTAAAACAGCTTCAGAGAAGTTTTCGCAACGTTTGCATGGCTTGAGACCCCTTAAACAAGTGAAAGCGGATGCCAAGTGCAAACTTGCAGCAACGTGCCAGCTGAAATCTGTCCAGTTTGCAACCATAGATTGGCTATCAAAACTGGGCGTCTTGCTTTTTCCAAACCACGCCCAGGAACAAGATGCAGAACTTGATCAAGTGATCACCTAACGGGGCTAAGCAGCACTGTGCGCCATGAACAGAACATCCAGACTCTCTCGAACTTGGAGATCATGCGGAGGCCATTGAGTCAGACAAGCTGAGTCCTTTGAAGATGAAGCTACTCCCGAACAAAAGCTAAGCCAAACTTGGCCTGGGAAGCCTTAGTCCCGATGCGGAGCAGGTCCTCGCAATGCGTCGTTACGAGACAAGGTTCCTCAGGGCCTTCTGGCTCTGGCAAGTTCGATGACACAAAGGGGGCCAAACTCATCTGATTCACCACCCAAGCAGTGGTGGCCGTGACAAGATGTTAATCCCAACGGTATTGCTGAGAAAAATTAATCTTCATGAATCGGGCAAGCCATCTTGTGAAGTGAATGAAGACTTTACGGACCTTTCTGAAGACCATATGAGGACGAATTTGCGAAGCAAAGGCGATCCAGGGCATCATCATCGTAGCTCGGCCGGTTATCAAGAAAGACCTGGGTCTGCGACTGAAAGAAGGCTCAAAGACTGGTCGCCCAGCTGGTCTTTGCCGGAGCCAGGAGCACGCCGACACGGATCACAGGGCAGAGCCTGCCTTCCTGGACTTGATGCAGGACCCAAGAAAGGGCCTCAGCCGCACCGAAGGCTACAGGGAGGGCGCCGGAGGGCAAGGTCTCGGCGCACGTTGGCTACCCTCTGGGACTTTGATGTGCTGTGGAGAAACCCAGAAAAGAATACCTCTGGCCCGTGGCTTCGGTGTCGGGCGTCTTGTCGCTTCGACACACACGTGGGTCACGACGAACTTCGACTGGTACCGGCTTAAATCCTCGATGCGCGAAGGAATGCAAATATTCTGTGCCCTCTAGAGACTCCACAACATCTCGCAAGGCTTGCCCTTTCCGCCGCAATGTGGTGGTTGACGCCTGTGTGCCCAAGGGCTGCGAGAAGTAGCGGAATGGGCAAACATTCAGCGAGAAGTGGCCGCTTGCAAGCTTGCACATCGAGACTGGGTCCGCCTCCACGCAATAAACCGACGGCTGAGACGGATGGAGGAATGGGCGACCCTTTTGCCAGTATGGGGCCCCCATCTTGAGGTCCCCCTGCCGTGATGTGTGCGCACAAACCCTGCGCTGGCGGAGGTGCCTGGCGCCGCTGCAGTAGTCCTTTCCGGTGCGAAGGTCCAGCCGAACGTGGCACTCTGATATCCGCGACAAAGCTGTGTCGTTAAGATTGCGAGCCTGGCACTGGTGGAGGTACACTTGCTGCTGGATGAGGTGGTCAATGTCAATGTCTGCAGTGCCGCCGCCCGCGATGAACAGGGCCAAAACAAGTTTCATGAAGACCGAGGGTGCTATCTCACAGCGACGGGGTCACTAACCGAGCAGGAGGCTGCAGTCAAGAGTCTCCACGACCAGGACAGAAGATATTAATGAGCAAGTGGTTTGCTTTTCTATCGTTGCTTCATTCTTTGCGGTTGGAGGTTTAGCGTGATTCTGGGATTCTTGAGCACTCGGCTCAAAAGACGCCCCGAAACCCAAAAAACCCAAACTACACTACACTACCCTATAGCCCTATTAAATGTATAAATCTCCTATGAACCATCATGGGCAAACGCGTGTATCCCTGAACCCTGTACACATCCTAAACATCCTCAGCCTCCAAAACTCGGGCGCTGCTTCACTACGGGTCACTACGGGTCACTACTGTAAGGCAGAAGTCACTATGGCTCGCAGTAGAGGCCACTGCAGGTCACAACGGAGGTCACTACAGGGTCACTACGGGTCACTACGGGTTGTCGCGGTTGCCATCGGAGTCAGCACTTGCAAACCCTCAGCACTGCAAGGACTCGACAATACCGCGGTTTCACGCTCGGAAAACCTGAGCATGAAACGAAGCCGAATTGCTGGACGCACGAGACTGCGGGATGTGACACTCAAAGATGCAACATGACTCGCGCAGTCAAAAACCCGTCTAGCTGGCTCAAAACCCCGGCAGCACTCCAACCCTTTCCGAGGATCGGCACGTGGAAGACTACGTCGATGACCTGAGCGAAGGTAGGAGTCACTGCGGCTCGCGAGGTCACTACGGAGGTCACTACGGGGCCACTACGGGTCACTATGGCTCGCCGCTAAGGTCTGCTGCACCGGTACCACTACAACTGTCCTCGCCAAAACCCCGACTATCCTCAGCAAATCCCTGAACCAGCCGCTCAGAAGCCTTCTGGCGCCTTTCGCCAGAAACAAGTCGTCAATATGCCTGGCAGCGGGATCAAATCGCGTCTCGAGGAAGGCTTGGAGCCTGCGATGCCTAGCGATAAAGCAAAGTATAGCAAAGTCGACATCGTAGTTGGGCTCCCTCCTTCCTCGCCTGGTGTTCCGCCACAGCCCCAGAGCAGCCGTGAGGCCGTTGGCCCTCATCAGTCAGGAGCAGCATGCAGCAGGAGCTACCGCAAAAGCGGGGCTGGGGAGCTGCGGATGTACAACTCTCGCTATATTCATTGGGCGAGAAACCCATGGGAACTACAGTCTGGGCTGGACCGCTGGAAGCTCCAAAGCGCCTGGTCTGGGCCCGGGCCCAAACCCTAAACCCGAGCACTCCCTAACCAGAGACCCCTGTGCCTCGAGCGCTGGGCGGAGGCGTCCACAGCCGCCCTGCGGCAAGATCTCCCAACCTGCAAGCACCGATCATTGAACTTTCCTTTTTGCACCTGAGCTTTTCCGAAACTCGAGAGCCTCTAAATAACTGCATGCCTCGTTTAAAAAAACAAAAAACCCTCGAGACCTCTAGGCCTTAGACCGCTGAGAGGTGTCTGAAACCCTCAATCTTCGAACCTTCGAACTCTTAAGCTCTCGAACATTCGAACTCGAACAAGAAAGCGTTTTTCCTTAACCTCATAAATGAAAGCCCGGTAAACCGTGAAAGCACCCTGGAAGCTAAATCCTCGATCCTTTCACCTATTGCTGTAAACCAGCCACCAGAAACTGTGCGAACCGTAAACCCCAAAACCCACCCTCAACATCAGCGCCCCAACCCTTGAAGCTTTTAAACCCTAAACCCCCTCTCTCTCTCTCTCNNAGGCACTCGAAGCGTCAGGCCTGGCTGAAGGAAACCCTAAACCCTAAACCTTGGATCCCCCGTCTTCTTGAGGTACCTCGCGAGGCGTCGGCTGGGCAAAAGGCGGCAAGGCCACGGAGCACGGCCCGGTACCGCACTTGCACGGTGCCTTTCGTCACGGCCTCCCAAAACAAACAAGGCCTTTGGAACTTGAGGGTTTTTTGGCTTGGTGCGTAGAACTTCGGGCTTAGAGTGCGGCTCGGATTTGAGATTGGGCTTCGGAGCGCCAGAACAAACACAAGTTTCGGTCCACCCACAAGGTCCCTGCACACCTGTCGTCAGCCTGCATGTGCTTCGGCCAGTAGCAATGTCTCCAGCAGGAATCGAAATCCTTAGCAACCCCAGGCTTTGAACGAAGCCACAACTCCACAATGTCAAAGGATTACCACGAAGCCACTTCTTGATGGGGCCGATGACAGCTGGCATTGGGCTCTGTTCGCAGGTTTCCTCAGTCAGCCTTGAAGTACTTCACTAGAATTTCAGTCATCTGACCATGTGGCGGTGCACCCTTCTCCATCTCCGTTTAGCGTCTGTTGGCATGTTTCGCTCTCGGTGCTCACACCCGGACACTCCAAGCGAAGCATGTTCCATGGGGTCTTGTTGGTGGGGTTTCGGATTGTTGCGATTATGTAGGCCTTCTGCCTATTATCTACGTACTAATACTACAGGGCTTGAACTGTTGGTGCAGTAGCAGTCTTCCAGCTTTCGCATGGTCTGGTAGGGTCGCACCGCCCTAAAAGCGGGAACGCACTGGTTCTCTAGGTTCCACTCATGCAGCGGAAGGAGAGAGAGAGAGAGAGAGAGCGAAGGCACTAACTCACCGACGGCTTTTTTGGCGGAGGTTGCTCGGATGTAGTGCTGAGCGAGGCATTGCTCGCAGATAAAGACACGGCAAGCGATGCCCAGCTATTGCCCACAGGGCGTGGCGGGAGGATGAGAAAAAATGCTAGTCAGCTGGCCGGTTTAGTCATGCGAGTTTCTATGTCTGACACGCACAACAACATGCGGTGCACTGCTTTAGCTTCTACTCACGCAACGCACTCACTCACTCACTCACAATTTTTGTTGGCGGAGGTTGCTCGATGCAGTGCTGGGCGAGGCATTGCACGGAGGTACAGACACGGCAAGCGATGAAGAGGCTATTATGCCGATTCAACGGCATCCAAGCAACCTCTGCTGGATCGTACCCGGCAACAAGGCGACTGCAAAACTCTGGCAAAAGCAGAACTTTGATTAATGGAAGTCATTAAGGTCGTCATTTAGGTAATTAACTAGTCAACTGGTTGAAAAGTTTTGAAGTCGACGTCGTCATTCATTAGTTAAATTAATGACTTTTCTCGTTGACGTCACTAATTAGTCATTGACGTAGTAGTCAAAACTGATCATTTAATTAATCAAATAATCAGTTAATTTAATGACGTCAAAAGTAATTCATTAATTAATGAATGAATGAATGAATGAAGGAAGGAAGGAA